CTTATCTGATTTGCTTATCTATTGGCATTCCTGAAAAACACATCTATCAGTAGCAACGTTTACATTTACTACAGGAGGTAAGTTTTAAATAGGGGGTGTAGGGGATGTCGGTCGTGGGGATGTAGCTCAGATGGTAGAGCGCTCGCATAGCATGCGAGAGGTACTGGAATCGATACCCAGCATTCCGGATAGTTGGCGACTTTAGTATGCTCCTGGAATCCGAGTTACCTCAAGAGAGAGAGAGATTGAGATTGAAACTGATTTATTACAATGTCCATATAATATTATATAAGGTTAAATACAGATAAATATAAATAAATAAGATTAAATAAGGATAAATATAGATAAATAAATGTAAAATATAAAATTGTTAGATATACATATATATAGGAATCCACCGATGGACTGCGAGAGTTCACAGAGTGGGCAGGTCGATGTGATGGCTGGTGTTACCTACCTCAAGACCAAGATGGCACTTGTAGATGGTAGCCTTCGCCACACTTTTGTGAGAGAGAGATTCGCAACTAGATATCAATGGAGCAAACTTAATGGGACAAAATTTGTTTCATTGGTGGCGCAAAGGATTGTGTGCTTACAAAAGTTGCTCTTTTTCAAAAGGTATTTTAAAAGGTGTGATAATAAAATTAATTAAATTATTGGTGAATATTTTATGTGTATCTATTTATAATTATATGTATTAAAAATAGGCTATATATTTTGTTTATTAAAAATTTAATGAAATTGGAAGTTGTTATTGGAGTCTTAGCCGCTACGTTTACATTGTCGATTCTTGACAATCCCGGGATCGAATACTTCAAGAAGACTTTAAAAAGCCTTTATTGGCCCCAGATCTTGTAAAATTCCAACACTACCAGTGAGTACAAGTAATATGCCTTGACACCTTATAAGTTCAAAAGTCGAGCTGCTTTTACATGTGTGTATATATGTGACGTACTTACAGTACCAGCATTTATCGATGTACATTTCGCAAAGCTAGAAATTCCAACCCCACCAGTGAAAACTAAGTTCAAAATTTGAACTGCTTCTACATGTGCAGACATAAATTTCAACCCAACCAGTGAGTGCAAGTAATCAGCTCTGATAACTAAGTTCAAAAGTCGAACTGCTTTCTACATTTGTAGATAAGTGGCGTACTTACAGTACCAGCAATTGTCAACTCATACCTAACTTCCTGACCTGCACAATATGTACTTGGAAAACAACAAAAAATCATGATTTGGAAATATTCTCACACATATAGAGGGTCACCTTTAGATTCCAATTCTTACACACAATGAACCTATAAAATCCATTTAACCAAAAATATTAAAAATATCTAAAAATGTTCATTTGTAAAATAGCCCAAATGGGGAGCAGCCAATGTGTTTTATCACATAAAAATTTCAATGTACAATTTTAAAAAACACGTTTGTGTTACGTGATTATTTTTAATATGCAAATATACTTGTGCCATATATATATATATATATATGCAAAACTATTTTAGAGGCGTAATATTCTTTTTAAAAATAAAACAATTTCTACTGTCCTTACTGCGATGGAAAAATTAAACATTTTTTAAAATTATAAATATTAATTAATAATAATAGAGAGAGAAGTTTGTGGTTGGTGTCGGTAGGGGATCAAGAAGAGATGGGGAAAGAAAGAAAGAAGGTTTCGTCTTAAAAAAAATCTTAAATAAAAAAAAAAAAGAGAAAAAAGAGATAAAAGAAAGTTTGAAAGAGATAGGAGGGGAGGAAACTTAACAAGTTGATGGTCCGTGACTAAGTTTTTGGTTCAACAGGAACTGTTCAATGTGCTAGGACTGCTTGAGCCGCTTACGCGGTGGGCCAATGGGTGGCACTTGCTGGGTGGCCAGTGGGCGAAAGGCCTCTGCGATGAGGTGGGGCTGGCGAAACACCAATTATTTTCCATCGCAGTAAGGACAGTAGATATTGTTTTATTTTTAAAAAGAATATTACGCCTCTAAAATAGTTTTATAATTTGATAACAGATGGCGCTCTAGTACATATATATATATACAGTTAAACCTGTCTATAGCGCATTATAAATTATTTTACTTCTCAACATTATTAAATTGAATCGGTGACAATTTCAGTTCGCCGCTAGCTCTCTACCTGCGAACATCTTTGCCCTCTTGCGCTCACCCCTGCCATGGCTCCCTCCAGGAAGAAAAAGAAGAATGCCGAGATCGCCGAGAAACCTCTCGTGACCCTCGCCCAACTAGAGTTGGAGAACCAGGAGGTGATGGACGACTCCGCGAATGCGTTAGCGCATCCTCCCCCTAGCTCCCAACAATACCTGTACCAAGTCATTGAGTACCTCGTCAGCCTAAGGACCGAGCAGATCAAGGCCCTCATTGCCGAGGTAGAGAACCTCTCTGGCACCCTCGCGTCCTTCCAGGATCTGGAAGAAACCAAGCCACAGACTGCCTGCCAATGCACTCAAACAAGCCCTGCTCCTTCCTGCAAGGAAACCAGCTCCCAGACCGACCCCACCAAGCCCGCCACTCCAGCTCCAACCAAAAGGAAGCAGCCAGAGGCTCCCTGCCCGCCCGCTAAGAGGACCAACCTCAGAGGTCCCGCGAAACCTGCGCCTTCCCGCCCCACCAAGCCTGCGGCCGCCCAAGTGGTCCTCCATGGGGATAAATCGGCGGCCCACACAGTGGTCATCTCCGATGACCCACAAGCTGACCCTAGAGCCATGCTCAAAGCTGTCTGCGCTGCCCACACTCTTCCCCAAGGCGTCTGGGCCTCCCTGCGGACCAAAGGGAAGCTTGTCCTCCACTCCAGCAACCCCGATACCATCCCGGCTGTCACCACCTCCCTGGCCGACAAGCTGCAAGGCATGAAGGTCCGCCAACAGAAGGTGCTCCTGCCTCGCATCTGCCTCTTCAAAGTGGAGGAGGATACGTCCAACTCCACCATTGAAGAGACGCTGTTGGGGACTCCCGCTGTCAGCCAACTACCTGGGGACAAGGTGGTGCGCGTGGCGCACCGTTCCGCTCCCAGAAACGGGACCTGCACCGCCTTCATCGAGGTGGACATCGACACCTTCAGAGCTCTGGGCAACCGCGGAAGGATCGTGGTGGACGGAGTGCTCCTCAACTTCGAGGAGTCCATCCGCGCACGGCTCTGCTTCCGCTGTTGTGGCTTCGGCCACAATTCCGCCCAATGCACCAGAGACTCCAAGTGCTTCCACTGCGGTGAAGGCGGCCATGAAGGCCGCGCCTGCCCCTCCGCTGCCGACCGGCGCACTTCCAAGTGCGCCAACTGCTGTGCCAAGGGCCTCTCTGACAAGCACGAGGCGAGAGCCTCGAGCTGCCCCACCTTGAAGCTTAGAGCCCTCAAGTTCTAGGCTTCCGGGGCCCCCTGCCTCCTCAACTGGCCACCTTCGGGCTTCTCTCACTTCTTGGCGCTGCTTCCCTGACCTCTCCAGCTTCCTCCCCCCCTGCCAGATCCTTGATCCTCTTGCCCCTGCCTCCTCCACCTCGGGGCGCTTCGCGCCATTCTGCGGCCTGTTGGTGCCTTAAAATGCTTCTCAGAATAGCATGTAGAAGGCGGAATAATAGTAGAGGCTGTTTTATCCCATAGTTCCTTCCTGACAAGCACGAGGCGAGAGCCTCAAGCTGCCCCATCCTGAAGTCTAGGGCCCTCAAGTTCTAGGCTTCAAGTACCTTCTGCCTCCAATTCCATCTGCCACTTCTCCTGGATTCCTGGCCTATTCAACGCACCCGCCTCACTGCACCCTGGCGCTGTTCCCCTGCTTGCCCAACGTTTCCACCACCCCTGCGAGATATCTCCTGCCGCCAGATCCTAGGGTTCCTTGCCACCTGACATCGAGTTTGGGCTCAAAAATCATAACTTTGGTTAGTAGCCCGTAAATAAAGATATTTTCTCTCTGTCTATAGCGCCCCCTCTTGGGACTCACCAAAATAGGGTGCTATAGACAAGTCACTTTTAATGTAAATCACATCGTACTACATATTTAAAATCGGGAGCTATTTAGAGGGGGCGTTATAGACAGGTTTAACTGTATATAAGAGTATATAGGAAATACAAGATGTAAGTTGAGCGTCTGTTTTGATAATAGCATGCGTAGCTATAACAGCTGCCAGTGTAATGACGTCAGTGGCGAGCTATTTCGTCTGCAAAACTTAGATATAGAAGTTAGAAAGGAACATCGCGTTTTCAGCACATATTCAATAATAATAATAATGAATCTCATCAACATATTGTTTCTTTCTGTATAAATATATCCATGAAAATAATTTCATTTTGTTAAAAGTATCAAAACAATATTTTCGAAAAAAAATATATACAAAAGTGAAATTGTATTAGGATCTGTTGGATAAATTGAGAGAAAATATAACCTCCTGATCGCCCAACTGAAAGTTTCTGATTGTTTGCACCATCTATCGGAATAAATATTAGTTAATCATATACTCCAGCTAGTTATATACTCCTGTAGAAGAATTTCTAATACCCGAAAAGCTTGAGAAGAATATATAAATAAATTAAGAAAACTATCCAAGGAAACCGTTTTTTATTATTGCTTACATTTCAGATAATCTTAGAATTTGTGATTTTTTTTTTAGAATATGTTGGCCATAAATTATTTCCTGCTGAAACAAGAAAAGCCAACAAGTTAAGCGTTTCAGGCTGTTGGCCCTCGTCAGCTTGATGTATACTGTACCTTAATGATTAAAAAAATCTGGTCCTTGAGGATTTCTGAAGGAGACGCAAGCTAGCAGTAACTTTCAGTTGTCCGATTAGGAGATACTTTAATGTTGTAACAAAGTATGTATTGTTAAATTTAATTGTCATCTATCGTTAAAACTTTACACAAATGAATTTACTGGCAATGCGTTTCTTTTAAATATCATCAAATATTATCTATACAGACCTTACTGCAATGATATGAGTTATTGAATGAGATGCCTTTATTAATTATAAGCACTCTCATTCAATAACTCATATCATTGCAGTAAGGTCTGTAGAGATAATATTTGATGATATTTAAAAGAAACGCATTGCCAGTAAATTCATTTGTGTAAAGTTTTAAAGTATGTATTATTTTATTAACAGAGTATCATTTTCGATGTTTATATTTTGTTACTCTGTTCCCCCTTTCTTATCTTTTGTTTATCCTTCATAGTTTGTTCTTG